TCTCCGCAGGCTGCTGATCGTCTACCCCTGGACCCAGAGGTTCTTTGATAACTTCGGGAACCTCTCCAGCCCCACGGCCATCATTGGTAACCCAAAGGTCCGTGCTCATGGCAAAAAAGTGCTGAGCTCCTTTGGGGAAGCCGTGAAGAACCTGGACAACATCAAGAACACCTACGCCAAGCTGTCGGAGCTGCACTGCGAGAAGCTGCACGTGGACCCCGAGAACTTCAGGGTGAGCTGTGCTGAGGTTGTCCGTCTGTCCCTCCGGCCTGTGGAGCATTGCCTGGAGGGTTCTGGGGGAACTTAAGTAGCAGATATTTTAGGTATTGAAGAGAAAGGGGCTGGCTTGGATGGAAAGTGCTTAAGAGAGAGAGGGAAGGCTGTGCATCTAGTAATTTGAAGGAAGGGGCTCCAGGCTGTGACAAATCTGGGGACAGATAGAGGGAGATGCTCTGAGTGCCTGGAGGTTGGAAAAAAGCAGAAGGAAGGTGAGAGGCTGAGTAGGGCTGAGGGTCAAGGGGACGAGGGCCATGTGCAGTTTCTCCTTGGCACACCGTGCCTCAGGGATGACGTATATGGGAGGAGAGGGAAAAGCCAATGTGGGATGAAGATGCAGGGATCATCAGGGGCTGGGTGCTGATGGGGAGAGATCAGCAGGCTGGGATTAGAGTCAGAGAGGTCTGGGTGTGGAACAAGGTCAGAAGATGAAGGAGGGGGGCTGGGGGGAGCAGAGGAGAGCAGGGTGCAGGGGTGGGCTGTGGCTGTGGGGGTTGGATGAGGCCCTTGGCTTCCATTCCTGCCCCTGCTTTGGGGATGCAGCAGACAGACGTGGCACTGACTTGAGCCCCAGCTCCAGCAGGCATGGGGATTCACGGCAGGAAAAAAACAAATTCAGGAACATTTTGGGAATACAGTGGAGAGGCTGGAGAAAGCAGGTGGGAGACAAGGACGGAACAGGTGGATCTTGGTGTCTGTGGTGAGCACAGGACATTTTCCTGCAGAAAGAGCATCTCTGAACCTTTCAGAGCTGCAGCCCGTGTCCTGTGCAGGGCAGGGGATGCTCCACACCGTGCTGACCGCATTGCTTCCCTTCTCCCTGCAGCTCCTGGGGAACATCCTCATCATCGTTCTGGCCGCTCACTTCACCAAGGACTTCACCCCCACCTGCCAGGCTGTCTGGCAGAAGCTGGTCGGCGTGGTGGCCCATGCCCTGGCCTACAAGTACCACTGAGCTCCCAGAGCAGGACACAGCTGTGAGAGTCAATAAAAAAGCACGTTGTCTGAACTGCTTGGTGTGCTCCTGTTGTGGGGAGGGTGGGAGGAAGGGGCACCAGAAGGGAAAGAGGGCTCAGGGCTCTGGGGAGTGTCATGGTCTAAAAAGACAGTCAGGTTTGCCAAAGGGGGGACATCTGGGGACACGTGGGGACAGAGGCCTCTCATCCAGCACTTGGCACGTCCCAGCCCACCAAGCTGTGCTTTCAGTCTGCAGAAATCACCAGGGAATATTTCTGACCTCTTCTGCACAGAAGGCAGAGCTGCAGGGCCGGACGCTTCTCAGCCTGCAGTGTGTGCAAGGGTAGAGGTTTGGAGAGATTCCCTCAAGGCGGCTCAGACTGAAAAATGTATCCTCAAGGTGATAAAAAGCGTTTTCTGTATCAGATGAAAATGCTCTTTCCAGGAGCCTTGGGCGTTCTGAGCAGAAGATGCTCCCTGCAAGAAGATGTAGATGTCTGCAGAGCAGGGGCCGAGGGCAGTTTTTACATAGGATCAGACAATCTTGACTCAGATTGGCTTAATGAACAACGGTTTTTCACTGTAATGGAAGGGTTCTGTCTAAGAACATCAGTCTTATTCAGAAGTAAGTTAAAAAGCAGCAGGGAAAGATGAAGAAACTCGTGATTTAGGAATGTGTTTCCTGCCTTCCTGCAGATAAAGCAGGGATTTGCACTTGTGACCCCTGTGAGCCACACATCCAGCCTGAGTGATAGGCAGAGGATGCAGGGATGGGGGGAAAAAGCAAAAAGCCAACGGAAACCAGAACAGCTTTCCTACAATACAACACCCTCCTGTCCACCAGCAAATGGCATTTCAGCATTATTTCATAGAATCATACAGTCACAGAATCAAAACCATTCCCCCTTGTCCTATCACTACCCACCCTTGCACACAGCCATTCCCCCTCCTGTTTATATGCTCCTCACTTTGGCCATCACAGAAACAAACAGGGAGCAAAGATGCTTACAGGATTTCAGCTGTCAACTTAAGCCCTTGCGAGTTCTGGAGGAGAGAGAAGAGTGACTGGCTGTGGTCCAGAGGCTTCATCTGCCACTGCTGCTGATAAGTAAAGCTTGGCGCAGGGTGCTGCGTGCTGCAATCAGAGTGACCAACAAACATTGCTTCTTTTGTGAGCTGCCTTTTGCTGCCAGCAGGATGATTTATCCATAATGTCTTCAATATCTTCATCAGTGATGTCAGCAGTGGGGTCGGGTGCACCCTCAGCAGTTTGCTGATGGCCCCGAGCTGCGGGGCGCAGTGACACAGCAGGGGGACGGGATGCCATCCAGGGGGACACAGACAGGCTGAGCACTGGGGCCAGCTGAACCTCGTCAGGTTCGACAAATCCAAGTGCAAGGTCTGCACCTGGGGGTCAAGGCAACCCCCGTTAGCGATACAAGCTGGGGGATGAAAGGATTGAGTGCAGCCCTGCCGAAAAAGACCTGGGGGTGCTGATGGATGGAAGCTGGGCGTGAGCCAGCACTGTGCCCTCACAGCCCAGAAAGCCGACTGCATCCTGGGCTGCAGCAAAACAAGAGCAACCAGCAGGTCGGGGAGGTGATCCTCCTCTGCTCTGCGCCGTGAGGCCTCACCTGGAGCCCTGCGTCCAGATGCGGAGTGCAGGAGAGACGTGGAGCTGTTGGAGAGCATCCAGAGGAGGGCCACGAAAACCATCCAGGGATGGAACAGCTCTCCTGCGAGGACAGCTGGGAGCTGGGGCTGCGCAGATGGAGAAGGGAAGGGAAGGCTGCGAGGTGAGCTGAGAGCAGCCTGTCAGCTCTGAAGGGGAGCAACAGGAGAGAAGGGGACAGGCTCCTGAGCAGGGTCTGCTGGCAGAACAAGGGGAAATGGCTTCAAGCTCCACAACAGGAGATTTAGGTTGGATGTAAGGAAAACTCTGTTACAGTGAGGGTGGTGAGCACTGAACAGGCTGCCCAGAGTTGAGCTGGATGCTCCATCCGTGGAGACTTTGCAGGCGAGGCTGGGTCAGGCCCTGGGCAACCTGATGGAGCTGTGTGTCCCTGTGCAGTGCAGGGCAGTTGGACTCAATTGCCCTCAAAGGTTCCTTCCAACTACAATGATCCTATGATTCTGTAAAATAGGAGAGTTCCTGTCCGTGGAATTGGCATTGCCCAGCGTGCACCAAGAAGCTGAGAACCACACATGGGGCTCCTCTAATCAGACCAAAGGAGACAGCAGGATGGAAGGATGCTGGGGAAGGGTTGTGGGTGAAGCGAATCTGTCCCATGTGAGTGCAAATGAGCTCTGACTTAGAGAGATGCATGAGGTGGAGTCATCCCTGAAGAAGACCTCCAAAGCAGAGTGCAGGGCTGGGACTGTCTGAGCTGTTCTTTGCTTTTTGCTGAGCATCCCTCAGTCATCTCACTGCTTGGCAGAAAGAGCTGAATGCTTCTTGCCAGTCTTGCAGACACCATCCAGTTTGAATCCACCTCACTGTGAGCTCATTGTGGACCACAGCCCAGCTGCTGCAAAGGGGGGCATGCAGCCTCAGGTTCTACTCAGGAGCAAAAGAGAAATCAAGTGAAGGTCAGCAAGCCTCAGGAGCTGCTTCTTCATCTCTTGGTTTAGTATCTCCTCTTACACCTGGGTTGGAAGTCTGGATCTGCCCTTGTGGGATGGAGCTCCTGAGCTGCAGGACGGCAGCCACCAGCTCACCATCCCACCCCGTTTGCAAGGAATCTGCACCTTGCATCTATAGAGCAATTTGTTGTCATTGCAACCTCCTCGTTTCATGTCTACACCAAATGAGGAAGCATTTGCAGGAACAAATTGCTCACACGTAGTCAGCATAACCAGAGCTGCCATTGGTAAAACAGTGCAGTTTGTGGCCAGGTGGCCAATTAATTGCAGCTGAAGTCAGGCAGGGCTCAGCTCCTCACTGTCGCAGGCTACTTGCATAACTGAGTGCAACAGAGCATCCCATGGTGCATCGTTATAAAATGACAGTGCAAAGAGTGTTTGCTTGTTCTTTTGACAGCCTCTCCTGCTGCCAAAAAAAACACTTTGATTCAGTGGACAACTATGGACAGTAACCATGGAGAACTGCTATGGGTGACTATGGAGAACCATGCAACACAAAGAACAACTATGGAGAACTACTGTGGGCAACAATTATGGACAATAGGAAGAGACAACAGCTGTGAAGCTCTTTATGAGTGCTGACAAGAAAGGAGAATCTTGAATTCAAAGCATGAGGCCTACATTTGGGATAAGCACTGGGCTCTCGTTTCCCGGAAAGCCTCTGATCCTTCAGTTTTGGGGCTGATGATGCCTGGAGCTGTTCACGATGGATTCCCAGGAGTGCAGGCACCAAAGCACCATTGAGAATCTGAAAACAAGGCCAAGGTAAAGGCTGTGAGCTCTTTGACGTCACTGCCCATTTCACTGGATCTCTTCCACAAGATCAGTCCTCGAGCACTGGCAGTGACACTGGAAACCTGTGGCCATGGAAGGGCCGTGCAGGGAGCTTCACCTGCACTCAGGGCCGTGGCTGCGAGAGCATGAGTGTGAAATGAAGCTGGTCTACTCAAAGGCAGAGGGGCATGGGCCCCCTTTTCCCCTTGGACAGCATCCAAATTTGCTATCTTTCTTTCTGCAGCTCAGCTCCCTCCCCAGACGCAACCAATGGAAATGTCAACTGAGATTAGGGCAAGCCGTGAGTAGTGTATAAAAATCCATGGGTAGTCTCTGGCCCCACTTCCTACTCATTGTTCAGGGAAGCCCAAAGCAAGCCCTACAGCTGCCACCATGGTGCACTGGTCTGCTGAGGAGAAGCAGCTCATCACCAGCCTCTGGGGCAAAATCAATGTGGCCGACTGCGGGGCCGAAGCCCTGGCCAGGTAGGTCCAGCCATGGGCACCGGCTCAGCTGCTCCCTGGGTAGGGAAATGGCTGCAATTGGAGGTGTGTTCCTGTGTGCCCCATCTCTCTGCAGGCTGCTGATTGTCTACCCCTGGACCCAGAGGTTCTTTGCGTCCTTTGGGAACCTCTCCAGCCCCACCGCCATCCTTGGCAACCCCATGGTCCGTGCCCATGGCAAGAAAGTGCTCACCTCCTTTGGGGAGGCTGTGAAGAACCTGGACAACATCAAGAAGAACTTTGCCCAGCTGAGCAAACTGCACTGTGACAAACTGCATGTGGACCCCGAGAACTTCAGGGTGAGCCTCTGGGGAGAACAGGCAGCACTTATGGGACTGAGGTGTGCGAGAGGAGGGATGCACGCTGGTGGGGTGGAGGAGCACAAAATGTGGGGTGATTTACGTGCAGTCTGCAGAGTGAATGGAGAGAAACAACATCAGCCTGGAGCAGCAAGGGAGGAGAAGAGAAGAAACAAAGACAGGATTGGTGGGGAGGAGATGAGCTTGGAGCTTGAGGGAATGGTTAATCCAGGACAGAAAATAGACACAGCCATTTCAACAGAATGGGGGGATCTGAGTCAAAGAGAGCCAAGGTAGTGGGGAAACGAAGGGAGAGAAAAAGCACATCCAGAGCTGAGAGGGGTCACTGGCACAGCCGGTGTAGAGAAGGTGTTTGGGGAGGAGGGGGCTACAGCACGTTCCAGCATCCCAGCGAGTGCCAGAGTGCCAGGAACAGTGCATGGGCTGCAGGAAATGGGCTCCTTGCATCGTGATGGATCTCTGTCACTGCCCTGGGATGGCTGAGTGCTATGAAGGAGCTGGGAAGAGCACTGGCTGATGGCTTCTCTTCTTCCTCCTTTGCCAGCTCCTTGGGGACATCCTGATCGTCGTCCTGGCCTCCCACATCGGCAAGGACTTCACTCCTGCCAGCCAGGCTGCCTGGCAGAAGATGGTGCGTGTGGTGGCCCATGCACTGGCCCACGAATACCATTGAGCCACATGGAGATGCTCCCGGAGTCCTCGGGGTCTCTGGGCTGTAACTGCCAAATAAACACTGCTGCAGTCAGGATAGAGTCTCTGCCTCTCTGTAGGGT